TATGAAGGAGCGCTTGTTTGAGCGTCTGATTATATCGTTCCACAATGGCCTGACCAGTGGAGTTGTAGGGAATGCCAAATTTATGTATAATTGACCATCGATGACAAAATTCCGCAAAGGCGGTGCTGACATAAGCAGGGCCATTGTCGGTTTTTATCTCCATTGGTGGCCCCACATGTGTGAAGGTACAGAGACAATGGTTGACTACATGTTTTGTAGCCTCTCCTCATTGAGGTGTTGCCATAATAAATCCTGAATAGGTATCAATGGTGACATGCAGATGGTGCCATGGTTTGAAAGGAGGGTGTTGTGTGACATCCATCTGCCATAGCTGACAAGCAGATGTCCCCTGAGGATTTACTCCTTGAGGAAGAGCAGTGGATTGAGCACTGCAACTAGGACATTGCTGGATAATAGCTGCTGCTTCTGCAGCAGTGAGCCCGAATTGTTTACAAAGAGCTTTGGCATTTTGATGAAAATAGCTATGTGAGTCCCATGGAGTAACAGGAGAAAGCGAGAGACAGGACATGGCCGAGGCCGCTGCATCAGTCACGTCATTCCCTTCTTGCAGCTCCCCAGGAAGTGGCTGGTGGCTGCGAATATGTGCGATATGCAAAGAATGTGTGCGAGAATGAAGACAGCTTTGCAGGGCTAAAAACAAACTCATAAGATTAGCATCAACAGAAGGAGAAAGATAAGCAAATTCAATGTTAAGTATCAATTGATAAACGTAAAGAGAATCCACAATTAAATTTAGCGGTTCTTGCGCAAATTCCTGTAAGGCCAAAATAGCAGCAGCTAATTCAGCCCTTTGTGCTGATTGTTGAGGAGGGGTAATCTTTGTTTTCCATACCCCTTCCTGTCTCCATGCACAAGTGCCGTAGGTCTTACCACCGTCCGCATAAATGGTCACGCCCTCAACTGGCTGCTTAGCAATAATTGAATTAAAATTTACAGATACATTTTGAAGCAATTGGAAACGAGGGTCACTGGGTGTATGGCAAGAAATCTTCCCTGGCCAATTTTCAAGAGCAATTTGCAATTCAATGGATTGACTATACCAAGTTTCCCACAAAGTGAGGGAGATAGGTAAAAATAACTGAACTAGATCTATGCCATATAAATGCATACTGCGATTTCGGCCTTTGATGATTAACTCACTATAAAGCATAGCCATAGTAGAAACTGTTTTTCTGGGAGTATTCTGCAAATGCAACCATTCAATGATATAAACCTGCGCTTCATGTAATTGAAATAAAGCTGCAGTAGGCAAGGCTGGAGTTTGTAAAATTGCTAAAGCAAATGGAGTATCAGGAATGCATCGATCAACCCAACGCTGCGTTAAAGCCGCATTTACGTGTGCCAGTACCTCCCTTTGTTCTGCTGATAAGGTTATAGCTGAATCCGGTCTCGCGAAGCCCTTTAGGGCCAAGAACAAGGGCTGGAGTACCGCTGTAGTTAACCCCAGGTAGGGTCTAACCCAGTTAATTGTTCCTAGTATTTGTTGTAATTTTACTAGAGAAATCTTTTCCTCAATTTTGATTTCCAGAATGACCGGATGAGCATAGGTTGCAAGGACCTTATGCCCTAAGTAGGCATATGGCGTTTGACTTTGAATTTTTTCTGGGGCAATATGAAGTCCAAATTGCAATAATACCTCTTTAAGGCAAGGTAATGCTGCCTAACTGTTCCTGGTGGGCCGGGAGCTGCAATTAAAATATCATCCATATAATGGTAAACCTTCCACCCAGGATGAGAGCTTCTGAATGGAGCCAGAGCCATTCGAACATATGACTGGCACATCGTTGGACTGTTTAGCATTCCTTGTGGCAAAACCTTCCATTGGTAACGAAAGGTAGGTGCGTTGTTATTCAACTCAGGTACGGTAAAGGCAAATAATTGCTTGTCATCTGCATGCAAAGGGATAGAAAAGAAGCAATCCCGCAAATCTATTACAACTAGATCCCAATTGCGTGGGATCAGGTTCGGGTTAGGCAAACCACATTGTAACGCTCCCATTGGTTGCTCTCAAATCATGTAAAAATCTCCATTTTCCATTTTTCTTTTTGATAACAAACACCGGAGTGTTATATGGACTAGAAGTTGGCTCAATGTGTCCTAATTGTAGCTGCTCAGCTACCAATTGATGTAAAGCTATAAGCTTTTCCTTTGGAAGTGGCCATTGGTCAATCCAAACTGGCTGAGAGGTTAACAATTGTAATTTTTCCATTATCCAATAACAATTTTTGTGCGGAACTGTGACAGTAAATCTCTACCCCACAAGTTTATATGCAGGGGCAACACAAGCGGTTGAATCCTTGCAGTCTCACCAGTTTCTCTATGCAATGCCTTCAACCAATGTACACTACTTCTTGCAAACTGCATACCACCCACTCCACGAACAGCCGGAGAGTCCTCAAGCGCCCATTCATTTGGCCATTCCTTTTGGCGTATCACAGAGACATCTGCTCCGGAATCTATAAGGCCAGAAAATGATTTTTCTTGAATTTCAATTGTCATTTTAGGTTGGTCTGTAGTCAAATTTTTTGTCAGCGCTAGCAATTCTGCAGCAACTGGAGAACTGGCCATTTCAGTGGACCCAAAACCGCCAGTTCGTGGGATCCCAATTAAAGGATTCATAGGAAAGTATGGAAGCAATAATAATTGGGCAATAGAGTCACCAGCCATTAATGATGCAGGAGTATCAGTGTATAATTGTACCTTAATAACCCCTTTATAATCTTGATCAATAACCCCTGGACTAACAAAAAACCCTTTTTCTGATGCAGAAGACCTGGGAAGTACCAATCCCACTGTTTTTTTCTGGCAGTGGCCCATGCAAATGAGTGTCCTCAATGTACACTTGATTAGGAAAAGTCACATCAATTGAGTTCAACATTTTTAAACCCAAACCTGCACTCCCAGTAATTGCAGGCGATGCTTTTGTGACAGCCTTGGGAGCGGGGCTAGCTGCATGCCCCAAATTTAGTTTCCCGGATTTTGGTTCTGATCAGAGCGACATTGATTTGCCCAATGAAACCCTTTTTTGCATTTTGGACAGACCGATTTCAGGCGAATGTCCCTATTTTTGATTTTGTTAAATGCCATTCCCCCTCCCCAGGTGATCGGCACTGGGCTTTAAAATGGCCAGGCTTCCCACAATTAAAACAATTCCCTGTAGGTTTCATCCCTTTTTGTAATGCCATAGCCAAAGTCTCCATGTTGTAAGCCTGAGAACCCACCACTGCACATGCCTTTAACAGATCAGCCAGAGTAACCTCACCTCTAGCCACCAAAGGCTGTAAGATATGCTTGCAGTCAGTGTTTGCATTTTCAACTGCCAATTTCAGCAAAAGTTCTTTTGCAGCTTCCTCATTAGAAATTTGCCTGGTAATAGCCAATTGTAGCTTTTCCACAAAAAAGACTCAGATGCTGTTTGCTTAATTTGAGAAAAAGACCGTGCCGGGGTTCCCACATCCTGGATGCGGGACAACGCCCCAAGGACAGCTGCCATAACCACGGGAAATACGTGATCAGGCAAATTAGCAGCTTGATCAGCAGTGGCTTCAAACAAGCCTGCCCCATAGATTTGGTCTGGCGTATACAGCCCCCCTGAATTCCTTCCCCTAGTGACAGCTTCCCTTTGATATTCTGAATCAAAAACCACATACTGAGTAGAGCTCAATATCATTCTCATTAAATCTTTCCAGTCACTAGGAATCATGCGTGAGGTAGCCAAACTTGTCAGGAGCCCCTTTGTAAAAGGACTTTGAATACCATAATCTTTAACTGCTTTCTTAATTTCCCTAAGTACTGCTAGAGGAATCGGAACCCATTCAGTCTGCAGATTGCCTTGAGCATCCACTTGCCTATTAACTGGAAACAAATTCATCTGGGGAATCTCATCAGGCTCTAATTTCCCCTCATTGAAAGCCTGATGCATCATTGCTTGAACTTTTCCTATTTGTGGCTGGGTTTTCTCATCCACAGGCGTAGGCGCTGTGGGGGGTGAGAAAACATACTCCAGTTTTGGGGTAGGAGGGTGCAACACAACTCCTTTATAAGGAGGAGGTTCTACTAAAGTTTTTAAAAGAGGTTGTTGCTGGGTCTCTAAAGCAGTCATAACAACCTTCCAATATATCAAAATTTCAGCTGTTGCCCGTGGCTCTTCATGAAGGATAATTCCAATTTTCCTCCACGTGTCTAACTTTAAAGAGCCTCTCTCTGAGTACCAGGGGCATTGCTGCCAGATCTCTTGCAGCAGTTGTTTCACATTACCTTTTGAAAGAACTATTTGCTTCCCCCCAGAGGGTTTAAAGATTAAGAAGTTTGTCCTGACTAACTTCAGCAGCTCACTAACATGGCGTTCCTGTGGCTGAGAAAGTTTTCCCCCCATGTTCTCTGAAAAATCCTATTGTCCAGCAATAGTTAAGTACGTACTTTACCTATTCCAGGCGAGGAAACACGGAGCTCCGGACACGTACCACCTGCAGTGGATCACGTCGGGGTCACCACTTGTGGTGGTCTCCCATGGAAAGAATGAGACACAAGCGTGTGTACTCGGGATGGGAGTCTAGAGCAAATTCCAGTGCTCCCTTTTATTGAGATTTTAGTACATAGTAAGCATTCACATTGTGGATTACAAGTTACATTGTGAATTACAATAATTAGAAATAGTACAGACTTGTTTGCAGTTGTCTGAGCTGCTTAATTGTTTCTGGTGTTTGCTTTTAATTTCCTTGCATTATCTCAGTGACCTTTAGGCAGACATGTATGTATAAAGCATTAGATTAATCATTACTTGAACCCAAGCCAAAGTTTATTCCCACACTTGAGAGGACATAAAAGTAGTATTCCAATATTTGAGGGGCTGCCACTAAGAAGTGGGGGTCAAATTATTCTCCAAAGTACCACAGGGCAGGACAAGAAACAATGGATGGAAACTAATCAAGGAGAGAAACAACCTGAAATTAAGCATAAATTTCAACTCCAGGGCCACCATGAACTTTATGGACACAGTGTTTGTGGCCAAATGTGCTGTTCCTCACTACCTAGTGGAGCCACCTGTGCTCATGGAGACCACTGATGGTCAGGTGCTTCTGTCTTGTGCCTGGTCATTGGCTTTCATGAGGAAGCCATCCAGTTTTACATCACCTCCAGCCTGCATTTCCCTGTGGTCTTGGTCTTGGCTTGGCTCCAGATGCACAATCCACAAATCTATTGGTCCCAGAACCTAATCACCTTCCCAAGTTTGCAATGTGTGGACCACACCCACCAAGTCTGTGCAGGCCAGTTGCTGAGTCCGCCTGGGGTGTCCCTGCCTTCTGACCTGGCGGACTTCACAGACATCTTCAGTGAGCAAGAGGCCAACCACTTTCCCCCACACCAACCATACGACTGCCCCATCGATTTGCTTCCGGACATGCTGCTCCCAGTGGGGCATTTTTACTCTATGTCTGACCCTAAGTTAGCCACGTTCTGGGGCTTTCTGGACAAAAATCTAGCTCAGAGTTTTATCTGGCCCTCATCGTCACCAGTGTCCGCACCAGTATTGTTCATGAAGAAGAAGACAGAGACTTGACTCTTGCAACTATCGCTAATTGAATGTCATCACTGTGCGCAATTGGTATCCTCTGCCCCTTATTTCTGAACTGTTGGAATGGCTCCAAGAGGTTACTGTCTTCATAAAATTGGACCTGCGGGGAGCCTATAATCTAGTTTGGATCTGGCCCAGGGATGAATGGAAGATGGTGTTTGGCACCAGGTACGGATACTTCGGGTATACTGTCATGCCGTTTGGGCTGACCAACGCCCCCACCATCTTCCAACATTTTATGAATGACATATTCCAGGACCTGTTGGATCAGATTGTCATGATTTACCTGGACAACATCCTGATCTACTCTCTGTCCCAGGAGAGCCATCACAGTACCTACACTTGGTCCTGCAATGGCTCTGGGAGAACTGCTTGTATGCTAAACTGGAGAAATGCCAGTTTTTTCAATCGACCATCGATTTCCTGGGACATAGCATTTCTTCTGAGGGCATTGCTATGGAGCCAAGCAAGGTTGAGTCTCTGTGTAATTGGCAACCTCAGCGAGTTAAGGATGTTCAGTGACTCCTCAGGTTCTCCAACTACTATTGGACGTTTATCCCTGGTTTTGCTTTCCTGACAGCACCCTTCACTTGGCTCCTTCAGAAAAAGATCCTGTTTTGATGGAGTACTCCTAAGGAACAAGTGTTCCAGGCCTTGAAGCAAGCATTCATGCAAGAGCCCATCTTGAAATATCCTGATTACCACAAGGAATTGATAAGGTCTGTTACTGCAGTTAACTCTTTGAAGGACTATTGCCTTGGTGGGTGAATGCAATTAATTCATAAAAGGTAAATAAAGAAGGTTTTTTCATGATAAGGAATCTGTTTCTTGCTTCTGCTAAGGCTGGTCCAGAACAATTGGGAAAGAAAGAATTGAGCATGGGAATATGTCAAGAACAAGAGAGGGAAGTCAAGGTGACAGGAATCAGAGGTGTCACTCCAGATTAAACTGGCAGATGAAGGACGAAGCCTTGGAATGGTATGTGAAAGTACACCAGAGAACATAAAAAAGAAATGCTGTTGGATACTGACAGAGTGGTCAAGGGGAGAAGGGTGGAGGAAAGGGAAAATCATAAACTTTACACAGGAATACTCAGATCCAGCTTTGCTTTCACTGTAACCGCTTGATTTTAGTAAAATTACTTTTCACTTTAAAGGACAGAGTCAGAAATCTTTCTTTCCTAAATGTCTGAGTTGGGACAAGCCTAACTCTATTCTTGCTTTGGAACTACTTTGGTCAGCTTACAACAGTAAAACAGAAAAAAATATAAAGCGTAAACACAACAATAGCAAAGCAATGAAACAAAAAAAAAATAAACTACAAAAGATCATAACCTGTACAAATGAACTGTACAAATCCAAAACCCAATTTTTAATCGCAATAGCATTTAGACTTATATAGTCTATAGTACCAGGGGTGGGTTTCAATTTTTTTAACAACCGGTTCTGTGGGTGTGGCTTAGGTGGTGGGCATGGCTTGGTGGTCATGTTATTGGCTGGATGTGGCCAACTCAATATCACTCACATTGAGGCACGCATCTCCTCATCTGGCCTCTCATGTGGGGATGCTGCAACAGTCGTAAGTGTGAAAAATGGTCATAAGTCACTTTTTTCTCAGTGCCATTGTAAGTTTGAATGGTCACTCCACACAAGCAAAGTACCAGCAAAGGAGGGGGAAAAACTCCAGAGACAGGAAGTCTAGCCCTGCCAAGAATGTAATAAGGATTAATGGAGAGGCAGTTTCTGTAAGCAACACCAGAATGTTTCCTTCCTGCCTTCCTTACAGGATTAGGCCAGTAATTTCTTCTAACAATCGGTTCTCCGAACTGCTTAGAATGTTCACAACCGGTTCTAGTGAATAAGTGCGAACTGGTAGAATCCCGCCCCTGCATAATACTTTATAGCAGAGGTCCCCAATCCCAGAGGCATGGCCCTCTACCGGGCTATGGCCTATTCAGAATTGGGTTGTTCAAGTAGCGCGCCAGAGCACATATGCGAGCACAGCTTAACTTACATGAGTGGTGGGCTGGCAGGCACTCACACGTATATGTGTGCGACTGCCCACTGCTTGTGTGGCCCAGTTACTCTCTTCTCCCCCAGTTGGACCACCAAGCTGCAAATATTGGGGACTGCTGCTTTACAACATTCTCTGTTTATAGTGTCAGCATATTGCCCTGAACAATTGCCCCTAACGATCTGTCCTCACATCTCAGAAGGATAGACAACTAAATCATGTAATAAGAGCATATGCATGAAATATAGTGTTATTCAATATGCTAAATTATTCTTTTTTCTATCCATATACTGTTTGCTTGATTTGAAGTAACTAAAACTAGTTTAATTCTTTTTTAATTTGATGTATAATCATCAACCTGCCAGGTGTTACTCTATAATGAGCCTGTCAGAATCTAACTCCAGGCTTTTTTTCCCCCTTTCTTTTTCCTTCCCTTAATTTCCTATTTTTATTTGTATTTTATACATTGATAAAACAATAAAAGTTAAAAAGAAAAAGAAACCCTCCAGGTTGTTGGCAGAGTTAGCCTGCAATACTGCATACTAACCACTGTGCCACCAGTTTAAAGTGAGATTTTTTTGGGGGGGAGATGCCAGCCAGAGAAGGAGGAGGGATCATAGTTTTAATCATTTCCAGAGTCACTAGAGTTCTATTATATTCTTTTTATATCCAATCTTCTTTTGACTTAACAGGCTTCTTTAAAAAGCCCCACCATCAAATTCACTTAGAAATCCTAGCTCTACCAGATTGTTTTGTCACTAAAGCTCTTCTGTTTTCCCAAAGGTTTTTGACTGTAGCTTCCATCTATTGAAAATTTGCCTATGAAAAGAAAGGAAAGTGGGTTAGAACAATTTGAAAAAACACATGCTACAAAGTCATTTTTGAAGAGGAAAATTCCCTTTGTACTTTGGAAGGAATTCCATTTCCCATCTGAGTTGCATAGCCAAACAGGAAGAAAGAAAACAACCTCATTATAGAGTAACACCTGGCAGGTTGATGATTATACATCAAATTAAAAAAGAATTAAACTAGTTTTCGTTACTTCAAATCAAGCAAACAGTATATGGATAGAAAAAAGAATAATTTAGCATATTGAATAACACTATCTTTCACGCATATGCTCTTATGCTGCAGTTTTTAAGCAAGTGCTTAAAAAGAAAGGTCGAGGCACTTGTGTATGCTTTCTCCCTTACCTATAAATCTGCTTCTGCAACAGTGTGCATTATGAAAACTTGTGAAAGTCTTGGCACCAGACATGGTTGCAACAGCAGATTTATAGGTAGCCGATTAAACTTACCTTGTTTGATTTTCTATGGTCAAGGAATTTATGCCCCCTCCAAGATGGAGGAGAGAATTTGTCCATTAGCAAAGGAAGCTGAGTTGGTTGCATTTTCACCTGCTTACTCTGAGACAAAAGTGCAGCTTGTACTAGAAGTACTACCTCCTGTTAGAATATAGTTTGCTCTAAGGGGATTGAAAATGTGCACCATTCCAAATATATGAAACAATCATTAATTAACTCAGATCATTCTTCTTTCTCACCCATTTCACCCAAGAAAATCATTTTTTTCTCAGGTAAAATTCACAGGATGATTGTGCTGCCTGCCTGTGTTGCCTGTCCTTGAAGTGCAAAGACTAGAATCTACTCTAATTTGGCCTTCATTGTATGAATTTACTCGGGACATTGATTGTTTTCCTTCAGGACCATAATAAAGCTATTGTTATTTTGTGATTGCAGAACAGGTGCAAAGCACATATAGGAATCGAACAGAACTTCTCAAAATCACTGTATTAAAGAACACAAAAAAATTTAAAGAAGTTTAAATAGAAAGAGTCCAGCGAAGAGCAATAATATCAATAGCAGTTAGACTTATATACAGTTTCATAGTGCTTTACAGCAAGGTGCTCTAAGGCAGTTTACAGAATTAGTATATTGCCCCCAACAATCTGGGTCCTTATTTTACTGATCTTGGAAGCCTGGAAGGCTGCGTCAACCTAGAGGTGGTCAGGATCAAAAGAATCCTGGCAATGTGAGCAGAATTAGCCTGCAATACTGCATTCTAGCTACATGACTCTTTGATAAGGGATCTTGAGCCTAAATTGCACAATGAACAGCTAGGGGAATTGGTATATTTAGCCTAAGGAAGAAAAGGTGTAGGGGTAATATGATAGGTTGAAAATTTCTTTCAAAATGTAAAAAATGTAAAAAAAAAAAAAAACAAGAAAAAAGTCAAGGAAATAACCAGCCCACTCATGGTTATTAGGCAGCGAGCTATTTAATTCATTATTTTGTATCTATCTTTGCACAAAGGGGGAAAAAACCAAGCCAACCTATCACAAAGCAGAATTATAAAAGACAGACTAAGAATACAAACTAAACCAGGCAAGAAAATGGTAAGAGAACACCTGTCCATTCTAGATGAGTACAAATTACCAGAACCAGGTGAATTATACCCCAAGGTTCTGAAGGAACTGGCAG